GAGAGAGAGAGAGAGAGAGAGAGAGAGAGAGAGAAATGAAGTGGCTGCTATGCGCGTAGTCATAGAGGTGCCCTGACAAGATGGAGGTGCCTGGTGCCCTGAAAAGATGGACCCGGTAGGGGCATATGGATTTTTTTGTGCTGGGACTCAACAGCTATCCAGTAGGGGCATACTGCAAATTTCGAACGGGTAGCCGTAGGGCCATAACAAAAATATTTCAGGCCCAGCGGACACCGGGGTTTTATGGGAAATGTGAATCATGGTCAGAGGGGCGCGACAGGGAAAATGGGCGGTGGGAGAAGCGCAGCCCAAAATACTGGAAATTACAGGGGCACCAGACAAATTTTCCGAAAAAAAGAAAGAGTTTCTACTTTTAACTTTTAAGGCCGTTTGACGACCATTCTGTGCACTGGTTGTCTGCTGATCTGCTGTTGTAGGAGCTATTGCTGTTCTATTTTTAGCTGTGGTTTCCATGTTAACTATAAAAATGGCAGAATTTCACAAAAATGTACTGTACAATAAAGATAGCACAATTTCACAAAAATGTACTGTACAATGTCCATTATGTTACCTGAGTGGCCGGCGCATAAAAACCATTGTCAGGGCATACTCACACTAGCACGCATTTTCATAAAATCGTAAATTATAGGTGATTTTTTGGGTCACACGGGCTACGTATTTTGCGTTTTCACACAAATGGGCACCTAAATGTCAGCAGCTTGGACAGCCGCGGGGTTACGCATTTTGCGGGAACCTCTGGAGGTCCCCGCAATTGCGTGTTTGGTTTAGACCTGTCTCTTTCTCGAAAAAAAAAAAAAGAATTCGACGTTTGGTGGGCAGTTCTCGTAAGAAAAGGGAAAAAAAAAACAAGAAAAAGGGATGGAATTTTCTGCATAGTGCTGTGTGACCCCTCTGCCCGTATAATCGCATTCCTAGAGCAGCTCGAGACTGTGTCCTTTCTGTTTTGTGACTTATACGGGTGTGCTGTGTGACTGGAAAGTGCCTTATAATAGCAAGTTGGCTCACGTATATAATTTGCTATTGTACGTGCTAGTGTGAGTATGCCCTCACTGTGAAATTGTGTGAATTCAGTTGGGCACATTTGGTATCCAGATACCCAACTATTCCCTCGAAGTACAGAACTAATTCGGCACAATTAGTCGTTCTGTCCTCCAGGGCATCCGTTAAAATTGGAACGATACAGAGAAAGAGAAGATTAGCAAAAAATAAAAAAAAATAAAAAAAAATCGTTCTCCTCTTCACCAACGCCAAGTACAGAACTTGTGACGGAACGCTTACCGGTTTGTTTACTCCTGAAGTGTCACCTTGCGGAAGTTGGGCTAGGTCCCAACCTCTCTCTCTCTCTCTCTCTCTCTCTCTCTCTCTCTCTCTCTCTCTCTCTCTCTCACACACACACACACACACACACACAAACACACACACACTTTTTTTGTTTTTTTTTGGGTGCGCGTGACCGGAAACTTACTCTTTGAGCTCGAAAGCAGCAATACAGGCGTTCCGCGCCAATTGTTTCGCCTTTTCCTTTTCCGCTTCTGTAAGCCTCAGAGGACCCACTTGCTTTTCCAGAAGCGCATCGTATCGAGGCTGGCTTTCCCGGTCAAACCTGAAATGCGCGCACGTGCGGACGTGCGCAATCCACACACACACACACCTGTCTCTTATACACATCTAGATGTGTATAAGAGACAGTCCCTGAGGAGGATGAAGCAAAAAAGAATTGCTCTTCTGTTTCTTCAGAATCTCTATTTATTAGAATCATCTTCAATTGCACGTGTAGTTCTTTATTTTATTTTTTTCACGTTTTCAAAAAAAAGAATATCATGTCGCGTTATGAAACACGTCATGGTTGTCATCTATTGAAATGGGTAGATGGGTAGCCCTTAAATAACTAACAAGAAAGGAGAAAAGTCACAAAGCTGAACAATCGTTTTTCCTTTTTCTTTCCTAGGGTTTGAGCTCTTGATTCGTTTCTGATCACTCGTTTTTTTTTTTGTTTTTTTTTTTTAATTCTGATCAGTTCCATGCACCTACCTACTTAGGTCCTACTAGGCTACTTGGCTACTACCTATCATTTAATTATTACTATTAATTATTGGTAAAGGTGGTTGTGGTCCGCGTGTTATTTTGTTGCCCTTTTCACACTTGGCACGCGAGTTTGTTGCCCTTTTCAAACTCAGTGCGCGGGTAAAAAGGCCCTTTTCAATTTGTTGCCCTTTCAAACTGGGGGCGCGAGTTTATTGCCCGCCAGTGATTTTTTTTTTGCCCTTTCGAGACTTGTTTCAAGTTGTTTGTGTCACAACGGATCTTACCCAAAATAGAAACTTTCCTAGATTGGATTCTGCTGTCCCCGGAGGAAGATGAGCAGAAGGGAGAGAAAGAGGGGGTGAAGTCTTAGAAGAGGAGGCGGATCATCAGGAGGAAGAGGAGGAATCGAATTAGAGACAGAAGGAGGACAAGGAAGTCAGTAAAATTTCACGAAAAAAAAAAGGAAAATGTCCGAAAAACAAATGAACCTCTGGAGTGAAGAAATAAATCTTCCGGCATGTTTCACACACACACACACACACACACACACACACACACA